AGCATATTAAATCCATTTCTTGCAAGATATGACCAACTTTCTATACTGTAAGTAGCCTTACATACGTATACATAGAAAATAATTATAAACCCATAGAAAAATCTACTATATAGAGGATAATACGTAAAAAAAGAAGTATCTTAACCTTTAAACTATTATTTTGAAGGAGACTGATGTCGGAGTTAAGTCTAGCAGTTCCGTAACGGAAGACGTTGCCTTCCAAGGGACCGTAACCGAACCCCGTAAGGCAGGTGGTGACAGAGCGACGTGGGCGTACCAACACCTGCTAAGCTCGTGGGAAACCCATCGGAGCCCATTTCCCGCGACCTCGAGCGGGTTGGACGTCTTGCCATATGCTCATTCCATAGCTGTCAACTAACCTTTCTTAAAACAATGTCTATCTATCTAAACAGATGATTGAATAGACCAATCAACAACTTACTATGTCATATACATAGTAATAACAGTCATCCAAATCTATTACGTATACATCTATGCAATGTCTATACTATTTTCTTCAGCGTATTACTGAAGCCACATTAGGTGCTTCTAAAACCTATCAATACATCATACTATGATATACATTTACTAACAACAAGATAAAACTACACAGCTAAAAACCATTCTGAATGAAACTCATGTAATCTACATATATAGTAGAAAAGTGATTGAATACTAAGTTAAAAATTTAAGGCATTACTAAAAACTGATATGCATAATACATTTTACCTACATACAACTGAGCATGTTTGATGTTACTTAACCTAAGTACATATAGTATTAATCATTATCATGATGATAATTATCAAATTGCAACAATATTGTAAAGTTATGATAGATTATAAAAATACGAAACTGCTCCTATACAGTAAATAAGTACATCACATATCTGCATATGCAAAAGAAATTCGAGTTTTGACAAGATGCCATATCCCTGTTTTATTTGTGCAATTTTATACGTTTTAATATAAATATGCATTTGGTTATTAATTTTGAGTCTATTTATTCATATGCATGAGTAAGATATACATCAAATGCACATATGTTTACTATCATTTGATAAGTATAACTTAAATAATGCACACAAATAATGTGCGAATAAAAAAAAAAGTGTGACATATAATCATATTAGGTAGTAATACAATATTGTAAGTATATGCAATTAAAAAAAAAACTAAATGCTTTATTTATAGAAACTATGCTTTCATTTTTTTATTGTATATAACTAAACCTCTTATATTAAAAAAGAGAGCATTTGCTAACTATTTTTAAGCTTTTAATAAAAATGCAGTAGAATTTATTTAAAATATGTAACTTAAATGGAAAATATGCGATAACAATGCGAACAATATGTTTTCAAATAAATATATTTATAAACAATTTTATATATGTGAGAATACACTAAGTTGAATGATTGAGAAATTCTATAATAGGAATAAATATAAACTTACCTTAAAATTCCAATCTGTTAGGACTCCGTTAAGATGAATAAATGAGCAGACGACACGCTTAGTAGGGCTCCAAGGAAACTACTGATCGGCTGGCAGACAATTCGGCATATTTACGCCCGCAGCACCACCTGGTGACGTAGTAATATAATGACGTCATACCCTAACAATTTAGCTATCTATTAAATCCAATACAAAATTTCACATTTTGACATTAAAATTTAGCGTATTATTGATATCTTTAAAGAAAATTTGAATAAAATGTTCATAAAATGTTTAAATAAAGGTTAAAATGTGGAACTATTTTATCATGCGGAGTGATACGCCGATACGGCAAGTGACTAGCAGGTGGCTAAAGGATCATGTGACCTACGTCATGATAATGGAGGGTAATTTGTTTGTGATCCAGCTCTACGGTACTATTTGGGGCAGGCACGCCTTTTTTACAGCTTTGATGGCCTCTTTTGTAAATTGTTCTCCTTATTTTTAAACATTCTTTTTTTAGCGTATAAAAACAATACCCAGGATAATATTAGGAAATATTATTATCATTCATTTTTTAAGGTTTTCTTTGAATTTAAATTTCCATTTACACACATTATTGATCTAAAATATTATTTTTTTTTTCAAACGATAAATAGAATAAATCAAAAGAAAGATGGGCATTATGCAGTTAAGTTTTTTCTGTGCTGATTTTTTTTTTTTTTTTATCTTTGCTACTATAGGTTGAAAAGTGATTTTTAAAAATCTATTTCAGATTTATTATTATTATATATCGAAACAATGTAATTTAAATGGATAGAAATATTTAAAAATTATTTTGAGAGAATATGCAAATTTTTTTATTCCACATTAAAATTGGCCAAATTGGCCGGATTCCTCCACTTTGAACACTAAACTACTCCGGCTTCCTACACTTTGAACACTAAACTTCTCCGGCTTCCTCCACTTTGAACACTAAACTTCTCCGGCTTCCTTCACTTTGAACATTATTTCTCCGGCTTCCTCCACTTTGAACACTAAACTACTCCGGCTCCTCCACTTTGAACACTAAACTTCTCCGGCTTCCTCGACTTTGAACACTAAACTTCTCCGGATTCCTCCACTTGAACACTAAACTTCTCCGATTCCTCCACTTTGAGCACTAAACTTCTCCGGATTCCTCCACTTTAAACACTAAACTTCTCCGGATTCCTCCACTTTAGGGGTTAAACTTTTCCAACTTCCACACTTTAATTGTTTAACTACGTCATCTTCCTTGAATATAAAATTTGGAGATAAAAGTATATTATATGCAAAAATATATGCCTATTAAAATTAAAAAAACGGCACATCTTGGATCGAAAAATAACGGAGTTTATTGCTTGAGATATTTCGACGATTGTTTGCCTTTTTCAAAAGCTTCTCTCGACGAACGTTCTGATCGTCGAAATAGCTCATGAAATAAACGCTATGTTTATTTTTATATCCAAGATGCATCATTTTTTAACTCCGACTTTGCCGGTCCCAAGGCCGGATGAAAAAAGAGGAGGGGAGCAGTAACAAGCTCGCTAAAAAACCTGGGCTCAGCTGGCCCGGCTGATAGTACTCTGTAAGGGCTCCTGATCCAGGGATACAGGTGAGGAACTTTTGTACTCCATGTTAGGAGCAGCTGCACATGGCGTCTGTTCCTCATGTCAGAGGCGATCATTTCTTTTTGAGCCAAGTACTACTGAGTAGTGCTCCCAGTCTTAATGACAAGACAGACGCATTCTACTTCACCCACACCATCAACAAGTTCTACAAGCTTGATACCCTAATATGATTAGTGGATATAAGAAAGCAGATGTTAGATTTCACGGATTTCGATATTTTAGAAGGATGAATATGTTCTAGAAGAAAGCTGTGAGAGCACCAACACTGTGGGAAGGCTCTGTCTATAAGTGGCTGAGTAGTTGCGGACTGTCCTGTCTGTCCCACCCTATTCCTGGAGCCACCATCTGCCGTCGACAGGGGAATCCTCTTTTAGCTCGGCGGCCTTCCGACAACAACGCCACAAGAACTACTCTGATCTTTTAACACCATTGAATAGACAATTGACACAATTAAAATAATTTTATTGACATCTTTTCAATGCATGCAGAAGTGCCCAGTCTGCACTATTTTAAAATTATAATTATATAAATACATATCACTATTCATGATCGGCTTTGCTCTTCATTGGAAAATGGGTGCCGTTGCCACGTTGGTCACCTTGGAAACGAACCAGAATTTGGTCGAATATTCCAAGGGACCAGGGGGACCGCAGGGAGGTGTGGTCGATCTTCTCCCCGCTGCTGTAATAGAGATGCATGGAGACATCTGAGACTCTTCTTTGGACACGACAACAACAACTATTCATGATAAAATTGTGAAAAAAAGTATTAAAATTACAAATATATTCTCACAATGAGTATCTTTTTTTTATTAAAAAACGCTTGAAAGCTAGCGTTTTTAAATAAAAAAGATACTCATTATAGAATATATTTGTAATTTTAATACATATCACTATGTACAATGAATATGGCTCCTCTGCCACCGCTGCAGAATTTGGTGGAGAATCGCCAGCGGTCTTCCAGCGACACCACGTATTTCGCGATCTACGAAGAATACGTAGATTGTGTACTTCGCCGCTGAGGAGATGGTGATGGCGTGGTCCTCGAGATCAACTGGAAAGAATAGAGAAGTGAATATAATGCTATAGTGCGCCTTTTATATGTAGGAAATCAAAACATTAAAAAACGAATGTTTCTTTTATACATAAATAAAACACTTTTTTACTGTCCTTACTGCGATGAAAAATATTGGGAGGACTCTTGGCTCATTAGTGGTGAACCCTCCCAGCGGTGAAGTATTGTGAATATTGTAAACGCTTCAAATTTTATATAACCTTCATTCTTAGCTAGGGATTTTTAAATAAGACGAAAGATCTTAGCAAGGGTTTATGTATGCACACACACCAAAACCTTCATTAAGACACACAGGTCTTACAGAGGATTCTACTTGGGGTTACAAGACGGAGATACCTATGAAAGTGGGAAACATGGGTTTATGTATGCATGTATCATATGTTAAAATATCAATGTTTTTTATACTTTTTTTTATTTTATATTTATTTTATTTTCCCTATTGAATTTACCCAGACTAATCTATTCATGAGCTTGATTGTCTTAAAATGTGTTTTCCTGAATATGCATTTCATTATCACTATTAAATGTAATTAGATTTTACTTTTTTATTCTTTACATTTGCAGACACACACACATTCCTTGGTAAATTTACTACGCATATACCTTTTGCAATTATATCTTTTATTTTTCCGTTTATCATTAATCTTCACAATTCACCCTTTCATACCTCATCCAAAATGTTAGAAATAATCGTTATTTCTCCTTGAAATAAATTTTGAATTTTCGTTGAAAAGAAACAAATGCGGGATAGTATTTCAAATGTCGTTTTTAGAATCACAAGCCGCATTATATTATATTGTGTATTATAAATTACTTTAAGTATTATTTACGAACGGAAAAACATGTCCAGGATAGTCTAGTGGACATGGCATCTGCCAGGGTAAGCGGAACACTTTGGGTTCGATTCCCATCCCTGGACACTTTTATTTTTCCGTTTATCATTACTCTTCACAATTCATCCTTTCATACCTCATCCAAAAGGTTAGAAATAATCGTTATTTCTCCTTGAAATAAATTTTGAATTTTTGTTGAAAAAGAAACACATGCAGGATAGTATTTCAAATGTTGTTTTAGAATCACAAGCCGCATTATATTATATTGTATTATAAATTATATCTTTATAACTAATTGAAAATATCACCGAAAAATTATTTTTTGTAATGAGTTTTTTCCCTAACAAAATATCCATATAAAGATTCAATGTGTGTGTGTGTGTGATTCAATGTTGATAATGAAGATTGTCAATTAGAATCTAATAAACTATCAAAATATAAGCAAGATTGCATTAGAGCGACATCTGTTATTATAAATTATAACTATTTATGAACTGTATGGTTCTTTTATAAAAGAATAAAACGCTTCATAAATTGTTGAAATTTCCTAAAACTATCACAATTGACAGTGCAAGTGTTCCTAAGGGAATATAGCGCTTTAATTGAAATAAATAAACATCACAATACAATAAAGAGGAAATGGTTCAGGATTGAAAAAGGTGAAAATACACGAATTGAGACGGTAATGAAAGAAAGAAGTCATATGGTAGACTATAAGTGGCGTCACAAAGACAATATCTACAGTCTGACCACCCAAACGTCCCTGGGAGATGGCCGAGCCAGATACGGTGGGAGTTGTCGCCAGAAGGGGCGTCGGGAGGGTCAAATATTCCAAGAAGTGTATCCTCATTTCATCAGAGAGGTCTAGAAGGGATTAGTTAAACCCCCACATAGAGCACCTACTGTCAGTAGAGAATCATATTCAAAAGATTTATAATACAATATAATTCGGCTTATATTGTAAAACGACATTTGAAAATTATCCCGCATGTGTTTCTTTTAAACAAAATAACCGAAATTATTTTTAAGAAGAAATAAAACGATTATTTCCAACCTTAAGATGAGGTATGAAAGGATGAATTGAAAAAGTAATGATAAACGGAAAAATAAAAATGTCCAGGGATGGGATTCGAACCTACAGTGTTTCCGCTTACCAGGCAGATACCATGTCCACTAGGCTGTTATGTAATGGTGTTAGAAGGTCTCACAAAATTCTTATAGTGTCAAGTAGAAAATTTGGAAAGATAATCCTCACAGAATGACACGACAATTTACATTCTATGCAAAACATAATAAAAACCCATAAAATACTACAAAAGAGGCATTGAAGTCTAATGTGTAGAATAAATCGAAATATTCAAATATCTTAATTAAGATAAAAACATCAGATTTCCGAAGAATTTTCTTTTTTTTTAATTCAAATATTTAGCTTTAGGACTTGAAAGTCCTTCTACAGGAGAAACACCATATAATAAATAGACGATATAACACGCATGTTATAATTTGTGAGATGAACCCAGAACTTGCTGGGCTAAATAATGAGATCATGGTCTTATTTCCTATTAAATCTGTAAAGGCTGAGCAAGATGTAGTTCTGAGGGTCTCCCCGGGGGCCTATGCTATTATTAAAAAAACTTGGCAAAATATTTACTGATATACAACGGTGCGATATTAGGGACAAAGTGCTTGTTGATCAATGCAAAACTGTTATTTATTCCACCCTGGACATCGGACCAGAAACTGCCCAAATATAAAAATATGTGTAAAATGTGGAATGGAAGAACAGCATCACTGCTTCGAAATAATAAGATGCAGCAATTGCTGCAGGCACCCATATTTTAGAACGGAAATTAAGGTTATAAACCAAATACCCAAGCTTGCCCGATCTACGAAAGAGAGATAAAAAACACGATGCAGCGTACCGACTATTCAACAATTCAAGAAGAGGAGAACAAGAATTAAACACCATTTGAATGGATATGAATGTAAGAAATACAGCTACTGATAGAATTAAAATTATTCAACAAAATGCTAGGAAAAGCAATACCTGCATAAGTGAACTATGTTCATCCAAAAAATGTATAAAAACAGACTTAATTCTGAATCAGGAGCCTTGTAAAATAAAAGAATAAATATTTTTTTCCAGGAAACAATATAATATATCATCAGGAGAACAGTCCAAATATAAATACAGCAATAATTCTTAGAAACAATGCCTTACAAATTGAACTAATAAAAGAATTTACTAACTCCTTTGCCACAACCATTACTATAGAAACAGAAAGTAAGAAAATTGCTATATCAAACATCTATATTCACCCCAATTCTATGAGAAAGGAGCACGAAAAATTCTTCAAATCACTAACTGAAACATTTATAAACACGCCCCTAATTATAAGTGGTGACCTTAACGCCAGATCGCCATTATGGTATGAATCCACAAAAAATTTCAACGGGCATAGATTGATCCCCATCATTGACGAAACGAACTTAACCATACATAATAATAAATCCACTACATGTCGAAATGCTAGTGTGATTGATCTTACGCTCACTAACAAACAAGCAATAGCAGCTATCAGAGACTGGCACACAAAACAAATATCGCAGATCTCTGATCATGTAGCAATAATCTATGAAGTACATACAACTGATAATTTCACCACAGCTACTAATTATTCCACATGGAAATTCAGTGAAGAAAAGGCGAACTGGTAAAATTTTGGTCAGAATTTCAATAAAATAGATCAAAATAATATTGAAAACTTTTTAGATACAGCAAATACAAGGAAAGACGTCGATAGCACCGTAAAAGAACTTTCGAACACGCTCATTGAAGCAGCATATAATACTCTAAATACTCAAAACATAAGGAACTATACTCTAGGATTTCACAATAAAGAAAATATAATAATAACGCCCAATGAAGTAAATAGAATAATTGATGAGCTAAACTCAAAGAAAACGCCTGGAATTGATAATATTTCTAACAATGCATGGTGGCCGATGGTGCTAAAAAGACTAGATGAGGACAACGTTCAAGCTTCAATAATAAAACTACTACAGTCTTTCTTTAATAATAGAAGAATGAGATTTAGATATTCATCAAATGAAACCCATAAAAAATTAAGCAAGGGATGTCCACAGGGTGGGCCTATATCCCCTACTATATGAAACATTATTTTAACGATTTATTGGATATCTATTCAGAATCAAACAGTGAAATCATTGCTTATGCGGATGATTTAACTGTGATATGTTGGGGAAACAACTTGACAGAACTTCGGAATACAAAAGGAAAGGTCATGGGGAGAATATTAGACTGGTGTGGGAACAATAGGTTGACCGTATCTGAAGAGAAAACGAGAATCTTATACTTGTTTAATAGCAAAATAGCTGCAAAAATTCCGATTACTATCACTGCCAATCGGGTGGAAAAATTGAAGAGATTATGGGAATAACTTTTAAAAATCATATAAATAAAAACAAATTGGATTTTGTGCCCCATATTGATGAGATTATTACTAAAACAAATAGAGTTAGTGGATACCTAATTGGATTAACGGGGAAAGCATGGGGACTGGACAGTAAAAGAAGAATAGTACTTTATAAGACACTGTTTCGAAGTTCACTAACTTATGGTTCCACGATCTGGTACAACTTTATACCCAAAAAAGCCAAAGATAAATTAAACTCTATGCAGTACAAAATTTTGAAGCACAGTACACAGGTTTATAATTCAACATCTTCAAACTGTACTCATATTGTTGCTAGAACACCAAAGCTCACGGATTTTATTGAAACAAATATACTAAAAATAAATATTGGATACAAAAATTCAGATCCAACTAAAAGAAAAATATATCTAATTTTATGAACCAGAAATTTGAGGAATACTATGGAGGTGCCAATAATAATTTCAAGGGATTCTTTGAGACTTCAAGAATTCCTAACTATGTTCAACCTAACTTTATAACGTCCAATTTTTTACTGGACATGATGACTTCAACACATATTTGTTTATAATTGGCAAAATTGGTTCACCTGCATGCACTTGTGGAAATGAAAAACAAACCCCTGGACACCTTCTGATAAACTGTCCATTAACTTCTTATCTAAGGGAAGAAAACCAATTTTACCTGACAAATACAAAACAAGTTGTTTACACACACACAATAAAGACCAATACATCAAGTTTAACACTTTGAGGACGGACGATTCCACAGTTGCATAGGCAGGCAATAAGAGCTGCTGTGGTCTCACGTGACGTTTAACATGTATATAAGGTCAGCTGACATTCCCCCAACCCACTGATAGATAGACAAGAAGGGACAAGATCCTGGTGGACGCGAATTCGTGTCAATCGCCAGCGATTTTATATTTAATTTTGAAATCGAGGACGCGAATTCGCGTTCTTCGGGCTTTAGGCAAAATCGGCAAGGACGCACGTCCTTCGGGTCGAAAGTGTTAATAGATTCTGCAGGCTGTATATTTTAAGGCGAAAGTGTTGACAGTACATATTTCAAGCTACCATTTCTAATTACTATATGCAAAATTTGACATCGCATGTGTAATTTTCATGCTTCCCAATGTTCAATTATGTTAATTTCACAATGATTTGATTTGTATATAATTTCAGATATACACGTAATTATCCTAATTGTGGATATGGCGTGTCTCTGCCAACTGTTAAATAAATAAATAAAGTTATAATATGATATAGTTATAACTGGTGTTCTATTGGCAATTTATTGAAACGTATTTTCTTCTGTAGAAGGGCTTTCATGTCCGAAAGCTGGAGATTTGAATTAAAATTTTAAAAAAGAAACTTATCCTAGAAATCCGATGTTTTCATCTTAATATTACAATACAAGGGATTATTGACCCAAGTAATAAATATATGTGAAGGGTGTCAGGTGTTGATATTAAAAACAAAAAAAGGAATATCCTGACCAGACTCATATGAGCATTTCTAGATAGCAGAGCGCCATCTAGTGGAACAAAAATAAACTAAACGTTTATTTAACTTTTTTCTGTTGGATCGTTTTTGAAGACAACTCTCAGATTTATAAAATTAATTTATTAAA